AAGGGAAGAGAGGAGGGGGTGGAGTGTGTGTGCGGAGGGGGAGGGGGAGGGGGAGAGGGGGAGGGCGAGGCGAGGCGAGGCGGGGCCGCGGTCGGAGGAGAGGAGGGGAGAGGCGCGCCCCAGGCGAGCGGGAGGGCGGCCGAGGGGGCGAGAGGGCGAGGAGGCGGGGAGGGGTGGTATCGGAGCGCACCCCACGTGCCATCCTCGCCCGCCTTGGACAAGATCTCGTCGTCCGTACACTTCTCGTCATCCTCATGGGCAACGGAACACAACACCTTGCCCCCCTCCTTTCCATTCTTCCTCGCCTGGTGCCCATAGTCCTCAATCGGCTCTGACCCGACTTTAGGGCACTCGTCGACACAGAGGCCGTACAGGGTCACCGAGGCCCACTGGCCCTTGGCGATGAGCGACTGCTGCAGCGACAGGTCCTTTGCGATCTGCGGGTACCAAATGTACCCGCCCAGCGTGCTACCCGTATCAGGATCCCCGGGGACGGAGTAACTTTCACCGTTCTTTTCAAAGTTGTTGTCATCGACGCCACACCGGTTGCCCAGGTAGTCCGCGCCGCGATAGAGCGCCGTCAGGTCGCCCGTGGAGATGGCGGACACGCCGATCCCCACGATGCCCACCCAAAAGACCAAGAAGAGGCCGAGGCAAAAGATGTCGGTGCAGCCCGCCTCATCTGGATCAGCGGGGAAGTCGGGATCGTCGGTCGCGCAGCCGCCGCAGCAGCCCGGCCCCTTGTGCGGGTCTGAAACGCCGCCTTTGCCTTCGCCTTTGCCCATGACTCTGGTCTTCAGTTGCTCGCCAGCTGTTAAGCCGGACCAGCCCTGCAAGGACACGGGCCAGCAACGAGAGGTCAGCGCCGACGCCGCGGGCGCCGCTTTTTTTTTCGCTGGCCGGCGGCGTGTCTTAATAATAAATAACGGAAATTAGGGGCCGCCTCTCGCTATTGGCCACCTGCCTCCTTCACCTAAAGTCGTCGGCTCGGACGGAGCGTCGGCAGGCATTGAACGCTGTGCGTGCTGCCGGCGGCACTCCCAGGCCCCGAGCCAGAGCCCCGACCGTCTCTGGCGTTCCATGACTGGGACTATGCAGTGTGACACCCAAAAGGTGTTGGACAACGGTGACACGAGGGCTTGGGGTGTGAAGGGCATAACCATGGTTGCGTGCAGACAATGGAGATAGAGCAGCCCCGGAGCGGAGGCCCGCCCGGGGTATTCAGTGTGTCGCGGGCGCCTAATCGGGATTAATTCCGTCGGGCGCCTACGAATTTACGTTTGCCGTCGGTGTTTCGCAAGCGCGCCTGGCGGCGGCTTGTGCTATGCCTGCTTTGGAGCCCGACGGGAACGCGGGAGCTATGGTCTGGGACATGGGCTGGCCTTCGTGGGGCCCCCAAGGCTTTGCCTCGTTGCCCGCAGTCGGTGCCCTTTGCCTCGTGTTGATGCAAGGCTTTCCGGGGCTAGTTGGCAACAACCTCACCATGGAGTCAGACCAACTCAGCCTACCCATTACGGTTGGCGGGGCCTCCGGCTGCGTCATGAGCGCAGCTCTCACCGCCACCAGCCCCTCCAAGTACCCCAGGGCGATTCTCGAGTTCGTCCTGCCCGCGCTCATTGTGACCACGGCCTACGTGCTGTTGCTGACAGGTGGGGGTGAGCACCACACCACGGGCGACAAGAAGGGGGGATCGCGACCCTCGACCACCAGGGGCAGCGACTACCTGTCCCTGCTCATCCCACGGTATGTGGGCCAATCGCGCCGGGCATTTATCGGGAGCCTCTTGTTCTTCCTCACGTTCCTGGTTGCAGCAGCAGATGCTGTGTGCCCGACGTGCGGCGGCAACCTCGCGTCGTGCGACTACGACACCTCCCGGACTTGCCCCGCCGCCACTGTCGTGGCTAACAACGCGAAAGTGCTCCTCGGCACGGCGGCGGTGAGCACCATGACCATCGCGAACCTGCTCCGACCACGGTTCCTGCGGGTCCTGGGAGGGGGAATGCTGCAGCGCTTTGTAGCCCTGCACCGCCAACCCGAGAAGGGCACGACTTTCGAGATCAAGCGGACCACAAAACCATCCGAGGTGACGGCGGCAATGCAAACTGGGAGAATCTCCCAGATTGACGCGGCGACACAGATCCAGCAAGTGATCGAAGAGATTGACCAGGCGATCGACACGGCGGGGGACGACGCCGCAAAGGCGCTGCTCGAGAGGGAGAAAGAAAAGTGGACGGACTACCTGAAAGGGGGCTTCAAATATGTCACTTCAGCGACCGAGTCTGACGGCCTCAGTGGACCAGAGGGGACGAGCGTCACCGGTTCCATGTCGCTGCTCTGGGCGAATGTCTCCACGTTCATCAGTCGGGGTGAGAGCTGCGATCGCGCAGACGTCACCACCGTGACCGGAAAGGGAGGCGGCACCAAGGCTACCATTGCCTATGTCAAGACGGAGGCGGAGTTTGCGGCGTGTCTGAACCTGTTTGTCATGTTGGCCATCGCCGTCTCTATCCCGGCCATCCCGCTGTGCGAGTTCATCTACCTCGTCGTGCACGACTCTGTGCTCCGTCGGGATCGCACCTGGCAATTTGCGGTCGTCCTGCTCGTCGTCTACCTGCGCAAGATCGAGGAGTCGGGCGGACGGATTACACTGGCCAAGGCAACAGAAGAGGTTCACACCGCCGCCATGTACGAGGAGGCCGAGCGAGTGATGCCAAAACACTATCCCGGGGTCGCATTTTTTCGTACACGCGGGGGGACCCCGCGGGCCGAGGGGCCACCAGCTACGCCACCATCTACGCCGAGCCCTGCTCCCCGTGTGGGGGGTGCTGGCCCGAGCAGCGTCAAGAAGCCATACAATGGCAAGTTCACTCCTGGAGGCAGGACGTGCTCGGCTTTCAACGTGGGTCGCGAGCACCAGGCGAGGGAGCTTTTCGCCGACGGCACCTGCAAATTCGACCACGTCTGCGACCACTGGGTCAACAACAAGGGCAAGGCGGGGCAGTGCCGCAACAGCGCGGGCACTCCAGGCCATAGTCGTGCTACTTGCGACAACCCCCACGGTTGCGACAATGCTCTCCCGTGAGGGAGATTGCGTTGCCCCCGCCGGGCACCCCTCGTGGACAGAAAAGACCGGTTCCGAGCCCTTTGACGCCTTGGCCGAACTTGCCGAGACTGTCAGGCGGGAGAATGCATGTGCGCTTCCTGGCGTGCCCATCGTCTACGATCGCTTCATGACGAGCCTGTTGAGGGCGACGTGTCGAGGATTCGTCACGGAGGAAAACTGTGCTTTCATTAAAGACGTCTTGACGTACGGGGCAAAACTCGGCGTTGACGTCGACCAAATGCAGGGCCACAGACATTTCCGGAACCATCCCAGCGCCATCGAGGCTCGGGAGGGCGTCTCACGCTCGCTCGGTAAGAGGGTGGCTGCGCAGAAGACATTGGTGGTTGGGCCGTGGACGCACGACTTGGCGAGGGCCGTGCGAGGTATCTACACGGCCACGGCCATCTTTCCGTACGGCGCCGCGCCAAAATCAGACGGCGGGACCCGTGCGCTCAGTGACCACAAGAAGACAGGCCTTAATGCCGCGTCTGATCTCGAGCCGTTCAAGCATAAGATCTTGTCGTACTCGGAGATTGCGTGGTTCTTCGGGACGAACTACTTTATGCGCGTCTCGGACGTGGCCGACGCCTTCGCTCATTTGCCGATCGCGCCCGAGCTGTGGCCGTTCTTCTTCTCGCGGTTCTGGCTAGAGCACCGGGGGCCGCTGTACCTGCTGGTGAACGTCTGTTGCGACTTTGGGACAGCGGGCATGCCAGGCACATTCAAGCGGTTTTTCGTCGACGGGGTCGTGCAGATGGCAAGGTCCGAGCAGGTCCTCACTCTGCCTATGGCGATACATGTCGATGACTGCGCGCTCATGGGACCTGACCGATGCCAGGTTGACAATGAGATGCTCGGCTTCCATTGGTGGTGCTCGTTGCTCGGAGTCTTCTTCAAGGCTGCGAAGGACCGCCCCGCCGCAATGTGCCAGTACGTGATCGGCTTCTGGTGGAACTCCGTGGACCGCACGCGCACCCTCGACCCCGCTAAACGGGACGAGTACAGTGCGATGCTGGACGAGATGTGCGGGCGACCGTCCCTCACGCTGAACGAGATGCAGGTTGCCGCCGGCCGGATCCAACGGTGCGTCATGACTTTTCCACCCGGGGCGGGCTGTCTGCTCTCTGGCCTGTTTGGGCTCATGACAGGCCTCCGCTTCGCGTGGCAACGGCGGCGCCTCACGCGGGCGATTAAATTGGACTTCCAGATCGTGCGGCGCCTTTTGCAGTGGAACCACGGGCGGGGATTCTTCTCGTACCTTGGCCTCCCGAGGGCGGGCGAGGTGCGCTCGGATGCCAGCCGGGGCAGCCTCTATGCCGGGGGGGGCTATGTCGACGTGTGGGGCAGGTACAGCCTGTGGCGTTACACGCGGTCGGCCGCTCGCTCGCTCATCGACTACCTCGAGGGGGACGCTGTCACAGTCGCCACCGCGGAGCTTGGTCACTCTTGGCGCGGATGCATCGTCCCCTTTGCCGTTGACAACCGGACCATCGAGGGCTCGGGCTCGCGGGGAAGGTCGCGAGCGGAGCGGCTTCGCTTCCTCATGTACGAGTTCTTCGCCCTGCAGTTGCGATACGGGTTTGTCTACTCCTTCTACTGGATCAGCTCGGAGGCAAACTACCTGGCGGACGACCTGTCGAGAGGCCGCGAGGCGGAGTTCCTCGCGAAGGTCGATGAGAGCGGCTTCCTGGCTCCAGGCGCTTTCCTGCAGAGGAGCGCCAGCGCGGGCAGGGAGCGCGCGCTGCCGGAACGCCGCCGTGCCTTTGAGGATGTACCCGAGCAGCCCACGCGGGCGCCCCCCCCTGTTCGCCGCGGGCGGGCAGTAGGGCGGACGTGGATCACGCTTTGCCTTTTTGTCACGTGCGTGGTCGAGCAGACTGAGGCCGTCACCCCTCTCGCAGTCCATGGCGGCCTTCCCCTTGTGGCGGTCATCCTGGGCGCCATCATAGCGGTCGGCGGCGTCATTCTCGGCGCGTCCCTCCCCGCAATCGCGCGGGCCGGACGGGCATGGGCGGCGGAGGGCGGCGCAGCGCGCGCCCAAGCGCCCCCCGGGCGACAGCAGCAGCGCCGCAGGCGGGCTCATGTCGCAGGGGCCGTCCGGGCCGCGGCCCGCCCAGGCGCCACGCGTACGCAGGGCGAACATGGGGACAACGATCCTCTCCATGTGCCTTCTCTGTGGCTGTGCTGCCGCCCCCGGGGACGGAGGTGGGCATCAGCCCTTCACGAGGTCGTCCGTCTTCCAGGGCCTCCCGTGCCGTTGGGTGCGACCGGTGGAGAGCGTCTTTGACAACCGGCTGGCGCCGTCGTCATGGCGTACGGTGAATGCGGCCATGAAGTACTGGAAGGAGACGTGTTTGCAGTACGGCTGGTCGGTCATCATCTACACAGACGACCCCGAGAGGGGCGGAAAGCTTGCCGCATGCGTAATGTCGATGGTCGTGGACACGAAGCTTGTCTTCGGCTCGATCGAGGGCTACGCGTGGGGCATCTGCACGTGGCAGCAGATGATGCACCAGGCAGATCCACGTCTTGGCGTCGTCGATTGGACCATGTTCATGGCCGGGGTCAAGGTCCTGACGTGGGTCCCTGGCGAGCCTCGGAAGGCCGTCCCCTTCGCCATCGTCGCCGCCATTATCAGGGCGACTGACGTGAGGAACTTCGCATCCGTCCAGCTCGTTTTCCTCATCCTCCTGCTCGTGTACACCTTTTCTCGCTCCGAGTCTGGCCTCTGCAAGACCTTTGAGGGGCGTGAGAGGTTTGACAAGACCGAACATATGACGGTCAGCGACGTCGACATCGGACAGGTCCAGGACGAAAGCGGCAACACGGTGCGGGGATTGTGGGTCCGTTTCAAGAAGATCAAGCAGGACCAGCGTGTGGAGCGCCCAGAGGCGAGGGGCGACGGCGACTGGGCCTTTGTTGGCGATGTGGCTGACTCGAGGTACAGCATCATTGCGTGGTTCGTGCGCCTCATGGGGTTCCACATCGCCGTCCTCAACGCCCGTCGCGACCCAGACGAGCCTTTCTTCCTCGAGACGGTGGATGGCCGCCGACGCCCCCTCCGCTACGCGCCCGCCATGGACCAGTTCAAGGCGGCTCAACGCGCTGTCGGTGTCGCGGCGGGCGAGGAGGGCGGGCTCCACGGCCTGCGGGTCGAGGGCTACAACAACTCGAAGCGGGTGTTGGGCGAGGACGTGACGGTGGCGCATGGCTTATGGAAGAGCGATGCCCACAAGCGCTACTCGCGTTTCCCGATGGGTCTCGTTGCTCAGATCCCAGCCGCGGTGAGCGGCGTCCTTCGGGCCGAAGGGGGCGGCGCCGCCGAGGGCGCCCAGCCCGCGGCGCGCAGCGCCTCCGCCCCTGCCGAGCGCGGCCCGCCTGCGGTGCGGCTTACACGCGAGGCGCTGCAGGGTGGTGGCTCGGCCGCTGCCACAGCAAGCGGCGCGGTCGCGGCGGTCGACGGGCGGGTCGAGGGCCCAGCGAACGTGGTGCCTGAGGGGGGCGACGAGGCTGGCGACGTCCACACGTCCATCGCGGAGGCCGAGGCCGCCAGCGAGGCCAACCTCCTCCCCGACGGCTGGCGCCTCTCCCAGGGGGGCGGCTACGTGGGGCCAGACGGCCGCTCCGCGCTCAGCCGGGCCGATGCGTGGCGCGAGTGGGATGAGTCGTCGCGCGCCGAGGCGGACGGCGACGCTCTCCCCGACTACCTCTCTTATGACGACGACGGCGAGGCAGGCGCCTCCGACTCCGACTCCATGCCGGGCCTCGAGGAGGTCTCGGACTTTGCCATCAATGCGATGGAATAGTGGTTCTTCGTGTCACCGAGGTTCGAGGGGCGTCCCAAGTTTGCGTGCAACGTTGGGACTTGCTTTCAGCTTGGGCGTCTTCCTCTGCCAGCTTGGTGAGTGCGAATTTCCGCAGTGTGTGCGTCTTCTCGCTTTGATAACACGCGGATGGTCCAAACCTTTACAGCTCAGCCCCTCGCATGTTACTGCAGTGTGACACCCAAAAGGTGTTGGACAACGGTGACACGAGGGCTTGGGGTGTGAAGGGCATAACCATGGTTGCGTGCAGACAATGGAGATAGAGCAGCCCCGGAGCGGAGGCCCGCCCGGGGTATTCAGTGTGTCGCGGGCGCCTAATCGGGATTAATTCCGTCGGGCGCCTACGAATTTACGTTTGCCGTCGGTGTTTCGCAAGCGCGCCTGGCGGCGGCTTGTGCTATGCCTGCTTTGGAGCCCGACGGGAACGCGGGAGCTATGGTCTCCCACCCTCCTCCCCTATAGCCTCTCACAGTCTGGCGACAGTGGGGGGTGAGTGCGAATTTCCGCAGTGTGTGCGTCTTCTCGCTTTGATAACACGCGGATGGTCCAAACCTTTACAGCTCAGCCCCTCGCATGTTACCCTGCAAGAAGTAGGAGCGTTATCTTCTTTTCGGAAACGTCGAAATGCTCCGACCACTCCAGCCCCTCGCCGCCGCCTCCTCCGCCGCCTCCCGTCGAAGCCTGGTCCCGCGCCTCCTCCTGCGCCAGCAGCCGCTCCTGCGTCGCCTCAGCTCCTCGTCGCGCACCGGCTCGCGGCCAGGGGCTGGCGGCGGCAGCGCGGGTTCCGGCGGCAGCGGCGGTGGTGGCCAGTCCTCGTCTAACGCGTGGGTCAACCCGCTCAACCGCGTGCCCGGCGGAGGCGGCGACAAGGGCGACGCGCTGCACAAGTACGGGAGCGACCTCACGGCGATGGCGCGCGAGGGCAAGCTCGACACGGTCGTCGGCCGCGACGAGGAGATCCGCAGGACGATCCAGGTGCTCTCGCGCCGGCGGAAGAACAACCCGGTGCTGATTGGTGAGCCGGGCGTGGGAAAGACGGCCGTGGCAGAGGGGCTCGCCCAGCGCATCGTCGACCGCGAGGTACCCGACTCGATGCGCTCGCGCCGGCTGATTGCCGTCGATATGGGCGCGCTGCTGCCGCTCCAAAGCCACGCCACGCCACGCCGCGTCCGGCTCCACTCCCGACCGCGCCGCTGCCCACACGTCCGCACCGCCGCCACTCGCACCGCCACCGCCCTCGGGACGCCCGCGGCGCGCCCACGACACGTCTTGGCGCCGCAGGCACGCTGCTCGCGGGCGCAAAGTTCCGCGGCGAGTTTGAGGAGCGCTTCAAGGGCGTGCTCAAGGAGGCGGCCGACTCGGAGGGGGAGGTGATCCTCTTCATCGACGAGATCCACTCCGTGATGGGCGCGGGCGACGCCGACGGGGCGATGGACGCCTCCGCACTCCTCAAGCCGCAGCTGGCGCGCGGCGAGATAGCCGTCGTCGGCGCGACCACGCTCAACGAGTACCGCGCGATCGAGAAGGACGCCGCGCTCGCGCGCCGCTTCCAGCCGGTGATGGTGGCCGAGCCCACGCCCGCCGAGTCGCTCACCATCCTGCGCGGCATCAAGGAGAAGTACCAGGCGCTGCGCCACACATCCGAGGCCTCGAGGCCGGCAAGAGACCTCCCCGAACCCGCCTCGCCGCCCCCCTCCCCCGCAGGCCCACCACGGGGTACACATCACCGACGCGGCGCTCGTCGCCGCAGTGGCGCACGCGAAGCGGTGCGAGACGCCCGCGCCCCTCCCCTCCCCTCTCGCCCCCGCCTCCGCCCCACGCCCTCTCCGCGCCCGCGCCTCCGCCCCTCACGTCTCCTGTGCCGCTCCCGCCCCCTCGCTCTCTCCTCCGCCGCCTCCCCTCTCGCCGCCCCTGCACGACACGCGCGCCCTCGGTCACCCCCCCCCGCCCGCCCGCCCGCCGGGCAGCTACCTCGTCGAGCGGAAGCTGCCAGACTCGGCCATCGACCTCCTCGACGAGGCTGCGAGCCTTTTAGTTTAACTAATGTTAATCTCGTTTTAATTGAATGCCATCGGCCTCCTCGACGAGGCTGCGAGCCGGCTGCGGCTGCAGCACGAGTCCAAGCCGGAGCCGATCGCGGACCTGGAGCGCGAGGCGCGGAGGCGCTGCGGAGCGGGAGCGAGGTGCGGCGGCCTTGCGCAGCCCCCGTCGCTCCCTTTCTGCAGGTGCTCAACCTGCAGATCGAGCTCGAGGCGCTGCGGCGCGAGTCGGGCGAGCGGGGCCGACGCTGGCTCGGCGCAGCGGCGGGGCCTCTCCCGGACGCCTCTCGGGCACGCCTCCCGCGTAGGCGTGCACGTCACGGCGCGGAGGGGCGAGATCCGCCGGCTGCTGCACGCCAAGCAGGCGACGGCGCAGGAGCTGGGCGCCGCGTGGAGCGCGCAGCGGGAGACGCTCGAGCAGCGCAAGGCGGCGCGCGCGAGCCTGCAGCAGGCGCGCGCCGACCTGGCCGTGGCGGAGCTGTGAACAGCGTCTCTTCACAGTTGCTGCTGTGAACAGGCGCGCGCCGACCTTGCCGTGGCGGAGCGGGACGGCGACCTGGTGCGCGCGGGCGAGCTGACGTACGCGATCATCCCGCGGCTCGAAAAGGAGTTCTAATTAACATTAATTAACATTAATTAAACTAACGTTAATCATTAATGTTAATCATCCCGCGGCTCGAAAAGGAGTTCTCGCAGTGGAGCGAGGCCGCGGGCGGCGGCGCGGGCGGCGAGGGCGCCGAGACGGGCGATTCCGACGCCGCGCTCTTGTCGGAGCAAGTGACGGAGGCGCATATCGCCGAAATCGTGGCGCGCGCGACCGGCATCCCTGCGGCGAGGCTTGTTGCGGGCGCGCGCAGCCAGAGGGCGGCGCGGGGAGTGGCGCGTGCGTGCGCGTGGTCCCGAGGCGGAGGCGGTGTGCTGCAGGCGAGCGGGAGAAGCTGCTGCAGATGGAGGCGACGCTCGCGCGGTCCGTCATCGGGCAGGACGAGGCGCTCGCCGTCGTGTCGAACGCGGTGCGAGTCTCGCGCGCCGGGCTGCAGTCGTCCGAGCGCCCGCTCGGCGCGCCCCTGCTGGTGTGGCCGACCGGCTCGCTCTGCCTGCCGCGAGCCCTCCCGGAGCCTTGCCTGCGCAGGCACCTTCATGCTGGTCGGGCCGACCGGCGTGGGCAAGACGCACCTCTGCAAGGCGTTGGCCGAGTTCCTCTTCGACTCGGCCGACGCGGTCACGCGGCTCGACATGTCCGAGTTCAGCGAGAAGCACGCCGTCTCTCGCCTCGTCGGCGCGCCGCCCGGCTACGTCGGGTACGACGAGGGCGGCCAGCTGACCGAGGCGGTGCGGCGGCGGCCGTACTCGGTGCTGCTCCTCGACGAGTTCGAGAAGGCGCACCGCGAGGTTGCGACGCTGCTGCTGCAGGTCCTCGACGAGGGCCGCCTCACCGACTCGCAAGGCAAGACGGTCGACTTCCGCAACACGATCATCATCATGACGTCCAACTTGGGCGCAGAGGCGCTCGCGTCGCTGCCGGAGGGGGCCGCCTCCTCCAAGGCGCGGCCCGAAGTGCTCAAGGCGATCGCGGACGCCTTCCCGCCCGAGTTCGTCAACCGGCTCGACGAGATTGTGAGCCCCGTAGCCGAGATTGTGAGCCCCGTAGCCGAGGTTGTGAGCCCCGTAGCCGAGGTTGTGGGCCCCGTAGCCGAGACGCGGCGCGAGGGGGGGCCGAGAGGGTTCGCCGTCGAGTTCCGGCTTCGCCCCCCCCTCCCCCCCTCCCCCCGGCGGCCTGCTCACCGGCGGCGCCGCGAGCAGGTCCTCTTCGAGCGGCTCACCCGCGAGCGCATCGCCGCCATCTGCGCTGTCGAGGTGCAGCAGCTGCGGGAGCGCCTCTCTGCGCGCGGTGTCCGCCTGCGCCTCTCCCCGGACGCCCTGCTCCGGCTGGCGGAGGCCGGGTACGACCCGGCGTACGGCGCGCGGCCGGTGCGGCGCGCCATCCGCCACCACCTGCTCGACCCGCTCTCCCGGCTGCTGATCGGAGACCAGGAGGCGCAGGACGGCGCGACCGTCCTCGTCGACACGAAGGACACCGGCGCGGGCGCGGGCGGCGGCGCAGCGCAGCCCTCCATCGTGCCGCCGCTGCCGGGCGTGCCTTTCGCCACGGGGCTGTTTGGCGCCGGCGGCGCCGCCGCGGCGGTCCCGCCGAGCGACATGGCCGCCGCTGTGCGCATCCGACTGCTGGCTCCGGGTGCGCCGCTTCCGCCAGAGGACACGGGGGTCGACTGGGACGAGGGGCCGGAGTCGGCAGCGTAGGTGTGCCTGTACTTTATGTGTTTCAACTAAAAACATCAAAAAAGCAAAACATCCAACTGCAACTAAATCTCAAACAAACGTCGGCATGACCCGGATCTCGTAATACACCACCTTTGGCTTATTCGGCTTGCCCTCCACAGACTCCTCCTTGTACTCGCGCAGCTGGTTGGCAAGCTCCTCCGTGGAGCTCGCCTTGGCTCTGGATGGCCCCGGCTTTCCGCCGCTGCCGGACGGGGCGCCCGCTAGCACCGCTTCGGTCGAGAAACGCGAGTTGGTCTTTTCCTTTGTGGCCTTCCATGCCGCCTTTTTGTCTTCTGCTGTCACTGCAGGCGAGTCCTTCTGCTCGAGAACCTGCAGCATGGTGCACGGCGGGAAGAGCACCTCCTCCTCGCCGGCAAACTGCGAGAGCAGCGAGATGTCGGCGCCGTGGTGGAAGCCCGTGTCTCCCTCGCATGACGGGCGGAGGCTCCACAGCACGTTCGGGCCATTCTCGTCCATGTACATCACCGGCGTCGCGCGGTTGCGGGAAGTGGACATGAAGGCGGTGTCCGTGGCACAGACCATGCCGAGCTCGCCCCGCACCCAAAACGAGTACGGCAGCTCGCCGCGCACGCCACGGTAGAGAGGCTTGTCCGCCTCCTCCGGAAGCGTGATGGCGGAGAGCTTGCGGATGGCTCGGCAGAGGTGCGCCACAGTGGCGGTGAAGGTCGCCGCCGGGTGCGTCGCGACCAGCCGGCGGAAGCCGCCAGACAAGTTTCCAATCTCGCGCAGGAAGCGGTTGACGGGCTGGTAGGCTGGGCCAGAGTACAGCCGAACCGCAAGCACCTCCTCGCGCGTCAGAAAGGCGTTGGCCTCGCTCGGCATCGGCGTGTCTGGGCTCATCTGCTTTAGCTTCTCGCGCCGCTCTGCAATGCGCGCGTTAATGCGATCGCAAAACTGCACCACGGACATGCCGCCGTTTTTCTCGTCGCGCGTGCCGGGCGTCTTGTCAGCGGCGGGGACGGCTTCCCCGTTGACGTACTCCCACTCCTCGCGCAGCGTGTACTTGACGTCCTTGAAGTCCGTCCAGGAGTAGTCTCGCATAAACTCCTGCTCGAGCGTGAGCAGCGGCCGCTCGATGATGTCGTCGAGGCCCTTGACAAACGCCTTGCGCGACGCGTACTGCAAAGAGACGGGCAGCTCCGCCATCTTGCCGCCGCCGGAGCCGCTCGAGCTGCTGAGCCGCTTCGGCGCCTTGAAGGTCGCCGTGACGACGAGAAGGTCGACCATCGGCTTGGTCACGCCGTCCGGCGCGAGCCAGCTGCCGGCGGGCTTGGTCTCCTTGAGTCGGAACAGCGTGTTGGGCGGGAAGGCCCCCGAAGTCTGCTTCCGGGAAGTCGGCTTCAACGTTCCGCCGTCGGCTCCGCCCTTCGATGCGGTGGGCGCGATCGTCTTCTTGATGACGATTGGTGCGTGGTCGCCGTGGTCGTCGCTCGCCGCCGCCTCGAAGCAGACAATGGGACCGCTGACAGGCTTCAAGCCCCCGTCGTCAAAGACCATGAAGCCCTCCACGCTAAAGCAGTCGAGGCGGTCGTTTGCCTGAGGTGGGGGATGGAGAGCGCTGAGATGCGGGCTGCGCGGAGATGCTCAGCAGCCCGATGTGGGGTGCGGGGCGCACCATGACCATCGCCTCGGAGACGAGCCCTCGGAAGCCCGCCTCGTCGGGCGTGCGGATGCTGCTCCACTGCGAGTCGTCCGACGCCAGCCCAAACTTGCCCTCGAGGTTCTTGTACAGCGACGGCGGAAGCGCAAGTTTCTTCTGCAGGTCGTACTCAGAGCTGAGAGCCTCGGAGAGGGCGTACGTGGAGCAGACGTAGTCCTTCCGGCCCTCCCGCATCGCGGCTGCCAGCGAGCCCCTCACCGACTGCAGGGCGTAATAGATCTCCGCATTCTTCTCATCCATGCCGCTATCGACGCTCTCCTTGATCCCGCGGGCAAACTTGTTGAGCACGCTGTCGAGGTCCTTGTGTGCCCTCACATACTCCTCGGTGCCCTTGTCCTTGTCCGCCGGGTCGTCAGAACGCAAGTACTCCTCGGTCCGCAGCTTCACCCACTCCTCCCGCCACTTCTCCATGCAGTCGTCCGGAGGCGGCCCAACGCAGTCTCGCAGCGAGCGCAAGTAGCCAGTGCGGCTGGTCGGGTTGCCCGGCGGCGTGAGCTCCGCCACTCGCGTGCGCGCTGCAAGGAGCGAACTCCCCGCCGCAAGCACCTGCTCGCGCGCTTCGCAGAGCTGCACGTCGGAGAGGTACTTCCCGAGAGGCCAAGTCAGCTTGGGCCGTGGCGCCGTGCCCTCGGGCGGCGGCGGCGGCGTGTCGGCGAAATAGAGCCGCGCCGAAGGGCGGAAGAGGCCGGGGCGGGTGAGCAGGACGGAGAGGCGGAGCAGGCCAGCCGCGCCGATCGACCAGAGGCGTTCTGGGAACTCTGCCCAGAACCGGTGCTTGCCCCACTTCTCGACGGCCTTGTCCCAGCCGGCGCCCTCCTGCTTCAGCAGCTCGTCGAGCGTCTTGTCCACCAGCGGCTTGAGCTCCTCCACCGAGATCCACCGCTCCGAGAAGCCGAGCTGAGCGATGTCCGCAAAGCCGGACATGGCCAGCACCCCGCCGCGTATCGGCGCGTGGGCGCGCAGGTGCGGCCAGCTGGCGTCCACCACGCGCTCGAGACTCTGCCGCGACCGCTCGAGCGACGGCCACTCGCCGGCTGCTGCTGCCGCGTCCGCCTTGAAAGCGTCCTGCACCTCACCCACGCTGAGCGGCATAGAGACGGGAGACACCCCGCCCTCGGCGGTTGACATGCCGCGGATGCCCACTTGCACCGACGAGCCGCCGCCGGCGAGCAGCTGCACGCCGCCTTCATGGCCCGCGTCCTCAAAGGCCGCATGGAAGAGCGCCTTTGCCGCCGTCCACTCCCACCGCACCTCGTCGAGGCCCTCGACGACGCGGAAGGTGACATTCGGGTGCTCGCATCGGCAGAAGCGCGCGAACTGATCAACCTTGCGCGCGCCCGCGTCGCTATCCCGAATCTTGCGCACGCCGCCGGTGGCGCCGATGAAGATGGCCGGCTCTGGGCCGCCGTTAGAGTCGAAGGCGGCGAGCGTATCGGAGAGCAGCTTGAAGAAGAGTTCAAAGGTCTCATCGCTGCCGTCGTTGATGGTGTCGCCCAGCGTCATCAAGCTCTGGTCGTCGCGCCGCAGCTTGGCGCTGTGGAGGATCACCGGCATGCCGTCTGGTCCCTGGTCGTATGCGAAAACCTCGGTGTGCCGCGAGCCGGCGTCGACCACAAAGGCCCTCGGCATCGAGACGCGCGCGGCGAACTTGACGGGAGAGATGCATCTGGGTGGCTCGGAGGAGGGGGAGTCGGAGGAGCGGTGATTGGAGAGGGAGACCTTCCCGTGGAGGTCTGGCGACGCGTCAGGGACGCTCACGCTTGCGAGAGAGCCGTCGCGGCTTTTGCCATCGAAGGTGACCGATTTGCGAGGCGACGGCGACCTTGGGCCCACCGACGGCTGATGTTTGGAGCTACAGGCACCGCCCATTGCGACGTCTCCAAAGGCCGCCGCTGTGCAGGCTCCTTGCAAAACGCCTGCCCGACACAAAAAGAGAAATTGGGCGCCTTCCCGGCCCTGGATGTGCGGTTACTCTGTTTCTTTCTTTCTTTCTGTGCGGTTACTGATTGCACTCCAAGTGCTCCAAGTGCCAAAGGTGCCCAGGAACACGGCGAGAAGGGAGGCGGCAGAGGATGACACAGAGAAGAGTGAGATAGTGGACCGACGGACGTACGGGCACATGTGTCAGAGCGCGCACGAGAGAGAGATTTTTAGCAATACCAAACAACTCTAACACTCACACGTAATTTGGGGCCTGGAGCCCTGTTCACGCGCGCGCGAGACGTGCAGACAGGGTTGCCAGGTGAGAGCACGAGTGGGTGTGGTGCGGACAATTTCGAAAAGACGGTGAGGCCGGGATCGCACACGGCAGGGCCAGGGGTGGCGGGACGGCTGTGGAGCGAAGTGGCCGTAGCCAGCCTCAAACACCCATGGGACAATAAGATGAGATTGCCAGATGAGAATGGGGGGAAGGACAGGCGAGCGACCCGGGTGCACCGGGCCCCCCCCGGAGGGGCCCGGGAAGGGTCCCGTCGGCTCACAGACGCCCCCGACAGTCGTATTTTGCTGCAGCAAAGGTACTAGGCATCACATACACCACCCCCAGGCACAACACAAGCAAAAAATCGGACATAAGTTCGGTCGGTGGTCGGTGAAGTCAGTCCCCCCCCGCGCCTGCCTGCGCGTTCGCGTTGGAGAGGAACGACGTGAGGGACTTGAACGGGTCAGTCTCGTACGAGGCGGTGCTGTCGGTCTCGATCTTGACCTTCTTGAAGCGGCCCGTCTGCTTCTGCCGCGCCGCGCCGCGCCCCTTGCCGTTGTGGAACATCTCCTCCTGCGCCGAGATGATGCGCAAGACCTGCAGCGTCGGCGACGACTTGTACGTCTGCTTGAAGATCGCAACGCGCCCGCGCCGGTCGCTCTTCCTGTCAAAGGCGCCGCCGACGTAGGGACGCCACGAGACGTTCCTGATGCGCTTGATGCGAGCGCCACGCGACTCGAGAGCAGCGGTGCTGAAGGGCCAGAGCTCGCCGTACTTGGCAATCTGACGCGGCAGCACGTAGACGTACAGGTGGAGGTACCACGAGCGGTGGCGACCTGAGGACACGCCCTCGAAGAGGTGGGCGAACTGGATCGCGGCGATGGCCACCTGCCTCGCGCGCTCCTCGCGCGCGGCCTGGCTCGTGCCCTCGATCGGCTCGGCCAGTAGGTGCGACATCTTGTGGTACGCCCGCCACGCCTCCATGATGTTGAAGACGGCGGATGCGTGCTCGCCGTAGCGGCGACGAAGATCCTGCCACAGATCGGGCTCGCAGCCGACGGGGCAGTGCCGATTGGCTGGATTGGCGGCGGCGGCGGCGGCGGCGGGAGCGGCGGCAGGAGCGGCGGCGGGAGCGGCGGCGGGAGTGCGGGGCCTTGCCGCCGCGTTCGGCTTGCGGGTCGGCCGAGGAGGCCTTGCCGGCTTGCGCGGTGGTGCCGGGCGGCGAGATGCAGGAGCCGGCGCTGGAGCCGGCGCCGGCGCCGGCGCGGGCGCGGGCGCTGGGGGGCGGCGGGAGGGGGGCATCGGCACCGTACGCCATGTCGCAGAGCGCCATGACGTTGGGGCCGAGCCCTGGGCTCTTCCCCTCCGACCCGTTCTCAAAGGCGTTGAAGGCCGACGCGCGCATCCAGCCGTTGGCCGAGTCGAGGCGGCAGTCGAACGGGCAGCCGATGCTGATCATGTACTCGGCGAGCTCCTCGCGCTGCTCCGGCTCGGTCATCACCTCGAGGTACGAGTACTTGAAGAGGATCTTTGCGATGTTGAGCGGACCGCCGTGCATCAGGTCGACGATGAACTCGATCGAGTCGAACTCGTACAGGAGGTACTCGGCCATGTACTCGGCCTTGTGGTGTTTATGGCTGTGGCTCTTGCGCAGCTTCTCCAGCTCCTTCTTGGCGGCCTTGTCCTTCGGCGCGCGCTCCTTCAGGAAGGCGAGGCGCGCAAGCAGCCGGAAGTACTCCTTCTTGTCGGCCGACCAGCCACAGCACTTGCACTCGAGCACGTTGGACCAGTCGTGGTCGTGCGGAGCGCGATGCGAGAGCTGCTGGGACGAGTCCTTGGTCAGCAGCTTGCACTTGGAGATGAGCTTGAGGATCTGCTGCCACGTCTCGTCGCCCGTGATCTCGGGCCAGTGGTGGAGAGCGGCGCACCTGTCATCAGCGTCGCCGTTGTCGCACTCGCAATGGCTCGCGCACCCCTTCACGCGGCAGCCGATGGAGCGCAGCGCGGAGAGGTCGAGGGTGGCCGTGAGGTCAACGTCGTACGCGTCGCGCGGCAGCGAGGCTTTCGGGTCGGCGGCGGGAGTGACGTCGCGCTCGCCGTCACGCCCCCCACCGATCGGCAGCGCGCCGGGCGTCGGCACGTGCGTGGTGGTGCCCTTCTCGAAGATGCCGTCGCGCTTGACCGCGTTGAGCCCGTCGGCCCACCCCCCCCCCAGCCCGCGGACCAGGCCGCCGTGGTCGTCGTTGTCGCGCCAGATGTTGGTCGTGACGAAGTTCAGCTCGCTCTGCGTCGAGACCGCCTCCTTGAAGGACGCCAGCTTGACGCCGCCGTGGACGAGGTGTCGGCCGGCGTGTTTGATCGCGTCCCAGCCGACGGAGGCCATGACCCTCGTCCGGCCGGAGGAGTCGGGGGCGGGCAGCAGCGAGTCCGTGCGCGTCAGCAGTAGCGCGAGCCCGTCGGAGAAAGCGCGCTGCGCCACGCTGCCGTTGCCCACGAGCTCTACTCGGTGCTTCTCGCAGAGCGCGGTGAAGATCGGCTTCCACCTGTGCTTGGACACGATCGGCTCGGGGAAGTAGACGGTCTTGCCGGTGCCAGCGTGTCGAAACCAAACCCGCTTGACCCAGCGCTCGCGCTCGGCGTCCCAGATGTAGATCAGCTTGAAGCGGAGCTCGTTCAGCTGCCAGTCGGTGAGCCCAAGCTCGACCGCACACTCCGCCGCCAGGTCCGCGTCCCACACCTCCGAGAGATGCGTCGCGAGCTGCATCTTCTCGGCAAAGAGGATGTCCTGGCCGGCCGGCGTCTCGGTCACGAGCGCGTGCAGAATGCCGGCGTCGGTGAGCGCCTTGGCGACGACCGCCGGCTCCGGATTCTTGCCCAGGAGCGCCGTCACCTTCTCCGCCGCGCGGTAGCCCGCTTTGCGTTGCAGCCGCCTGCTCGCGGGGCCCGTCACCTCCATCTCGGCCACGTCGGTGGCGCTCCTCGCGGCGCGCGACATGCCGCCAATCTTGCCCGACAGCTGCGCGACCCGGTGCTGCATCGCCGCAAACTTCGTCGCGGCGTTATCCGCCGCATCATCCGCCTCTCTCGCCGCGGCGGCAGCAGCCTCCGCCTTCTCCCTCTCTGCGTCTGCCGTCACACCGGCGAGCCGCGCCTCCTCCCTCGCCGCGTTGAGCTCCTCCTGCAGCCGCGCGTTCGCCAGCCGCGCCTCGTCGCGCTCCCCCTGCACCAGCGCTGTCCGGTCTTGCGACTTCTCGAGCCGCGCCCGCGTCCGCGACGCCTCTCCCTCGACGTTCGGAACGCGCCGCCGCATCTCCTCGAAATCCTTCCGCTCCTTAACCGTCAGCGCCGCCTGGCTCTGCTGGCGCTGCGCCTCTCGCGAGAGCCGCTGCAGCTCGTGCTTCTCCAGCTCCCGCGCGGACAGCTCGCGCTCGTGCTCGGCGGCCATGATCTCCGTCGGGTCCGAGCGAGCACGCGTTGGCATCGGCGTCGTCGCCGCCGCTGATGCCGCCGCCGCCTCCTCCATTCGCGCTCGCTTCGCCGCCGCCGCCGCATCGCGCGCGGCGTGCCACTCGTCGCCACGCCGAATGAGCCGCCCTAAGCTATCCCTCCCCGCCTCTCGCTCCTTCTCCCTCTTCACCTTTCGCTTCCCGCCCGCACGCACCACCACATCACCACACACCGGAGCACGTGCTGCTGCTACTCCGAGTCCTCCGAGTTCTGCTCCGAATCGTCGCTCATCTCGTCCCCCGTCGACAGGTAGTCCTCCCACTCCTTGTCGCCCGTCTTCGCCGCCAGCGTCTTGATCCAGCGCGGGTCCATCCCGTTGCCGCAAGTCATCCTCACCTTCTTCGCGACCATCTCCCACGCGTAGTCCACCGCCACCGCCGCCGCCGCCTCCCGCTCCTCCTTCTCCTCCGCCGTCTCCTCCTCGGTCGTCGGGGTCTTGAACCGGTACGTGCCGTTGCAGTGGAGCGTCATGATGGAGCAGCTCAGCGTGATCCCCTCCGTCTCGTTGTTGCTCGTGTGCTCGGCGAGGATCGGCGGGAGTGCCATCACAAAGGTCTGCCCGCGCTTGCGAAAGATGCCCGGCCCGATGCCCATCTCGTGCCCATCGTGCAGGCGGAGGAAGGTCGCCGTGTGGTGGTGCGTGCGCGCTGCAAAGCTCACGCGCACCGTCCTGCTGCCGGCCGTGAAGACCGGGTTCCAGCGGGTCCAGTCGAAGAAAATGGAGCGCGCCGCCTGGTAGGTCAGAAGGTCGATCTCGATGTATAGGTGGTAGAGCGCGTTGGCCTTGGTCGGCACGAGCAGCCGGTTGCGCACCTTCTTGGCGATGATGCGGAGGATCCTGCCCCGCGTGCAGAGCTCCACGTTCGGCCGCCACGCGCGGGAGAGGACCAGCTCCGCCTCCTCCTCGGTCAGCCGCAGGAACCGATGCTCCGCCGGCGGGTCGGTCTGCGTCACGTCGTCCACCATAGCAGGCATCGGCGCAGGGCTCATCGAGCCAGAGCTGGACCGCCCGCCCGTCTCCTTGGCCGGCGTCACCGGGTCCGTCGGGCTGCATTCACCTGCGCGCGCGCGCCGCGTTGCACGGAGTCAGGGCTCTGATCTAGGGATGGGGGCTGTCGAGCGCCGCCAGCGCAAGACTCTAAGGATGCACATCATCGCGTGCAAATGCACAATTACGCGTGGAGCTTTGCCGAACTATGGTGTGTATAGGCTGCTGGTGTGGGGCGATCGGGTCCCACAGTGGGGCATCTCGACAGGAGATGAGTGGAGATGCCCGACGGCGCCCGGCGCCGATACGGGCCACGACGGCCGTCTGCGCAGGGTGACGGCGACGACGCGCGCCTCGCGACCCAGCGCGTCGGCACGACCGGGGTCATTGCCATTGTTGGTCCAGAGCTGGGACCCGGGCGTGAACTCTAAGGGGCGGAGGAGCGGGCCAGAGAAAGGGCTACGCGCGCCTCTGGGAGAGGCCATGCTGCTAAGGCAACGCAGTGTGCAAGGTGAAACGAGCACACGGACCAAAACTTTTGCCCAAACCCTTGAAGACACCCTCCGGGTGGGCTCGGGTGCACCCGGACATTTGACGACGTCGGAGGTCACAATGATCAATGTGACGACCAAAAGCAAAACGATCTTAGGGAATCTGTCGGCGTGCCGTCCTCCCATCCCTCCCTTGGATTGTCTGTTTTCTTTCTTTCCTTTTAGGGAATCTGTGTGCTGTGTGGTGCACGCCCTCCGAGCGGGGGGCGGGGCGGCCCGTAACCCGATGCCAATCATCTGGCCCGCTCTTGGCACTTGGGGTGCGCTTCTTGTAGCCCCCCTGGATGAGGATGTGCGGTTGATGACTGGCGGTCTGCACTCCATCTCCAAGTGCTCCAAGACCAAGTGCGCATACCCTACACATCTTCCGATAAGAAATCGAGCAAGACGAGTTAAGGATGCGCGAAGGGAAGCGAGTCACTCTTCTAACGAGTAACGTAGACATCTCTCTGTGGACTCCCTGTCCCCTGGAGCTACGTAGGCTTTCCCCACACGCGCACACCGCGGTCGCGCACACCAAGACTCCATGTTCGTACTCTGCTAACTCAAAGTCAAACCGTCACCACGCCATCCCCCGCCTGGCCCGCCACGCCCCTAAGGCCCCCTAGCCATCTATCCCGCCCCGGAATGCCGAAGGGGGGGGGGGGGGGGACTTGGACGTTGGAGTGCAGTTAGCAGCCCGCTCACATCCAGGGCCGGGGGGCTCTAAAGCCGTAAGATGTAAGAGAACAAAGAACCCTTCTTAAAGAAGCACACCCAGGTCCCAGCGGGCCAGACCCAGAGATGATCGGGATCGCGGGTTGCGGGGTAAGAGAGCCCTATAGGCCTAGCGCCTAGGCCCTAGCCCTGGCGCCTGGCGCCTGGGGCGTGCGGGGTGCGGGGGCTGGGGGGCGGTCCGCCGGTGGCCGGTGCGCGCGCGTTGCAGCATTGCAGGGCCAAAGGGCCATATACGTGCTGTCGTAAATAAGGTAAACACACCGACGGATTGTGAAGATCCCTCCACACCAACGGATTGTGAAGATCCCTCCACACCAAAGGAAAGATCGTGCCAGGGCGGGGACACATGAGACATGTGGTTACTTCCCCCAGGATTGGTCTTCTCTGCATGCGGGAACACCCTCGGGCGGCCGGGTGGGGCTGCGGCTGGAGCTAGCATGGCTCGGTAGAGCCGAGACCCCGTGTTGAGGCGGCGCTCCTGTGGGCGGCTGTGGAATCGGCAGCCAGATCTCCCGATCTCATCCCAGTGATGGACGTCCGTACGTCCCTTCTTAGTGATTGTGCTTCGGACGGCCCTTCGTTGTGTTCTCCCCCGTCCGCCAGCGAGACTGGCTCAGTCGCTGGCGGCCGCAGTTCTCTGTGACCCACCCACCTCTCCCTTGTGTTTTGTCTGGGGAGGGGCTTCTCCTGCGGAGTCGTGCGTGCGCAGGGCTCCTCTTTGCTTTCTTCTACTCCCTACTATCATCTCGTTCCCGTCCTACCAGAGAACCCTAAATCCCATATCTCGTCTCAGAGTTTGACACCGTTTTTATTTATTTATTTAAGGTAAACACACCGGCTACACGGGTCTCGGGTCTCGCCGTGTTCTCCGAGGGTTGGGGGCTCCGCGCACCGGGCTTCCCCTAGCAGCAGAACGCCCCCTCTACTCGGAGCTATTAAACACCCGACACATGGACACGAGACGACACACACATCACACTCCCACTCGGCGATGGCTTCGCCACTCAGGATCCCCCCCCCCCCCCCCCTCCTTACTGCAGAGGGAGTTTGGCCAGCGCCTCCTCGACGCGGATCAGATTGCGCACGGTCGCCTCGTCCTCAGCGCGCGTCTTCGCCTTGTCCTGCACCTCCTCGAGCAGGCCGGGCGTGTAGGCGACGCCAAAGAGCTCCTCGCCCACCTTGGCCTCGAGCTGGCGGCACAGGTACGTGATGACGAGCTTGGGCACCGCCTTGGCGACCGCCTGCCGCACGTCGTCAAAGTAGTAGCGCAGCACCGAGCAGGGCTCGCGGTGCGCCCCCTCGCGCTCCATCCGGCGCAGCAGCGCGCGCGTGACGAAGACGTACGCCTCCTCCATGTCGATCATCTTGCCAATCTCCTCCTCCGTCACGTAGGCGAGCCGGTCGAGGAGCGCGCCCGCCCGTCCGCGCACCTGCCGGCGGGGCGGGGCGATGGGGTGCGAGGGTGCGAGGGCGCCGCGAGGGGTCACTCCTGTGCGTGCGTGCGTGCGTGTGTGTGCGCGGCGCGCGCGCGTGCGTGTGCGCGCGCGCGCGCGCGTGTGTGTGTGTGTGTGCGTGCGCGTGTGTGTGTGTGTGTGCGTGCGCGTGTGTGCGTGTGTGCTTGGGCGAGGCGCGCACCGCGTCGACCAGGCGAGGGAAGCGGGTGAGCTGCGGGTGCGGCTCCTCGACCACCGCGCGCAGCTCGGCCGTCACCTCGCGCAGGCAAGCGCAGCACGGCTCGAAGAGGGTGTGCAGCGGCCGGTGCGCCGAGTGCTCGCCGAGCAGCAGCTGGATGACGTCCTTCGGCAGAAAGCCTGCGGCGCGCACCGAGCAAGGGTCGGCGAGCGGGCCCGGGAGCCGCCCTCTCTCCAGAGGCCGTCCGCGCG